TAAATTGTGTATATAATTAGATTAAATTTTGCTCAGTCTCATACTTTCAATAGTATACTCTTGTGCCATGTGCTAAAATGACTCATTAATCTCTAACGATATTTTCTCTATTTTGGCAAATTTAGACTTACACAAGAGAATTCTCAGTGAAGAACCTGGTTCATCATGATTAATCGGTATGTTTTCTATACTCTGCATAATTTGAAATAATAATATTTGGATCATGAGCAGATTCCTACCTAATTCCAAACTCCTTTTGGACTTATCCGCTACAAGTGAACTAGTTCCGTTCAAAAGAGTTTGAACCGAATTGAAGTACCTAGATTCTAGGGATACACTCTAATATTTTTTCAAAATTAAAATTCAGTTTGATTAGACTTCTAAAAGTCTGAAAAGCTGCTGTTACCCCATTAATTACTCCTCTTTAAATTGATCAGCTTTAGTGTATTCCTCACTTCATCTCTCTCAAGTTGTCAAAATACTCTCAATCTTCTTTCATCTTCCAAACACAATCCAATTCTCTTCTCTTCCATACCCTAGCACAGAAATGGCTAATACTCCTGAAAAACCTTCATCACCACCACAAGAAACCACTTCCACACCCATTTTCACTCCTTCCAACACCCCAACTTCTAAGAAAAGAGTAAAAATGATGGCTTGTAAGGTTGTTGCTGGTGGAGAATAAATTCAGAAAATTAATGAACAACTGAAAACAAGTAGGGAGGAAGAACCTCAGAAATCTGATGAATCATTCAAATCTGCTACTGAGGGGGAAGAAACCGTTTCTTCCGAAATTGAACAGGTATCTTCTGGCCTTAAAGTTACTCCTGAGACAATTTCTGAAGTTGCTATAAATTTGGAGAATAGGTTTGTGCTGGTAGGGTCTATAGCAGGTGTTGAAACTACAGAGTATGGAGAAGTTGGTGGTAAAAATTAAAAGAAAAAAGAAAAAGAGAGAGAGGGAGTTAGGATTGTTGTGAGGGGAAAGGGTAAAAGAGTGGTTGATTCTTCACCCACTCATGTTAGTTTAACCAAAGACACATGTACAATGGTTGTTTGGGGAGAAAAATCTGCTGGAGTAGAGGAAAGTGTAAAGAAAATAGGGGAAAGTGGGTTGGCAAAGCTGCTGAAGGGCTGGTTCAACTTGGAAAAAATAGAGATGAACCTGTTTCATCTGAACAGGAAACCTCACAGACTTACTGAAAAGAGTGACTGAGAGTTATAATCCAAATAAGAAAGGAAGTTCAAAGGCTAAAACCCCTGGCACTGCTAGGGCAACCAAGAAAAGGAAGGTTGCCCCTTCTGTTACTATTGAAATTCCTCCCACAAGAGGAAGAGCCACAAGAAGTTAGCTAAAGCAGAATGAGGCAGAACTGCAGAAAGCCTTAGAAGAAAGTAGAAGAAAAACAGTTGCTAAGGGAAAGAAGAAAATGTATGAGCATGTTGAGACTGTTGACATTGATGAGATGGACTCGGTCCTTCGAGATGAAGATGAGACTAAAGAAGTGGAGGTTCTAACTCCCAATGCCAAGACTTCCACTAAGAAGTTTGTTTCGAAGTCAAAGTCTGCTGAACCATCCACCTTGGCAAATAGAACAAGGTCTGCTGTGAAGTCAAAACAAGTGAAAATTATTGAGGAAGAAGAATGGAGTGGAGAGGAAGAAGATGATTCTGACATTGAGAAAGGCAAGATGGCCAAGTTTGGCAAGAGGACAATTTTGAATGGAAGATTCCTTAGGGACTTGGAGGAGCAAGGAATGGTGTTTCTTTTGGAGAAGTTGGAATTGCAAGGCTGGAAGGACATGGTCCTTAAGATGGATGGCAAGTTGGCCAGGAATGAAATTATTGAGTTTATGGCAAATGGTGAGGTGAAATATGGAAGGGTTACCAGTATAGTGAAAAGAGTGCAAGTCTCCTTCGATGTGAAGGAGTTGGGAGAAATTCTGGGTGTACCTGCTGAGGGGTACAATGACTATACAAAGCTTAAGTTGTCAAGCCTAGAAAATCTTCCTACTGCCCTTGCCATTACCAAAATATTCAGTGACAATGAGGAGGAAGTTGAGCCCAAGGTTGTGTACAAGAGTGAGATGAAGCCACCCCACAAAGTGCTATTCAAATTTGTCAACAAATGTATTCTGCCAAGGTAGGAAAGAATGCACATTGCAAACTTCATGGACTTGGTCCTGACGGAATGTTTAGACAGTTGGAGGCAGATTAATTGGCCTGGATTTATAATCCAGCTTCTTGATAGGGTTCTAAATGGCACCAACACTCATGTCATTCCCTATGTGATAGGCTATATGTATATCCCTTTTATGTTTTGATAATCTAACAAACTTACTGTCAAGAACCAGATAAGGAATCTGTTACACATTCTCAAGACCTTAAGATCAAAAGGTTCCAGCTTGGGATATGGTTCAACTCTTCAGAGTCAAAGGAACAATAAAGGGAACAGATAGCTACTGCTTCCCGAAGAAACTACACAAGTCAACTGCCTCAGCTATAAAGTTGCTGCCTACACAGGCTACAGTGCAGGAATAGTACAACAGTCAACTTTATGGAGAGTGTCTTTTATCTACCTTGCTTACATCATCCTAGTGATGTCACAAATGCATTATTAACATCAAGGAAGGTAAAATAATTTTTTTGAACACTTAGAGAATTTACTCAAGCACACTCTCTGTGATTGATCATCAAGAAAATGATTCTCAAGTGCATAAAGAACAAAGAACAACACTACTACGGACCACTTCCCCTTATCAAGTTATTGTATGTCCTTAGTTGAGTTGTAACTTTGTAATAGTTCTTCAATTGTAATTCCTAGTTATCTTGTTTAGAAGCATTCCGTAGGAAACCCTTTGTAAATCATAAACCCTTGTGTTTGTGTCTTGGCTAGAGTTAGTCGAGTTGTAAAGTCTTTGTATTAGAGTTATTACAAAGTAACTTATAATAGAGTGTTACAAGTTAGTGAGGGATTAAAAGGTTAATCCCTAGGTTACATAGGTTGTAATCTGAAAGTTGCTCAGTAGTGAAGTTGAAATCCTATGAGGGTAGGTCGTGATTTTTAATCCCGTTGAGCTGAGAATTTTTCACGTAAAATTCCTCCTATCATTTACCTACTACTGTGTGCGTGTGTTAGTGGGAACTAATAGAGAACCTGGTTCTTTATATAGTTTGGTGGACCCTTAAATTCTATCACTATGGCTTCATTCTCACAGTTGTGCTTGCACATTTCAAGGTACCTATGAAGACGTGGGAGGTTGGTACAAGCAATGATCATTTTGGGGCAAATACTCTGATTGCTTGTGACTATGAAGTCCATGCCACTCTTAAAGAACCTGATTCATCCAAGAAGGTACCAGTAAATAGCAAGGTGCGAGCCTTGGTGCAAGAAAGTGGGGCTAAGGATGCTGAGATTGAGAGGCTGAAGAAGAGGTTGGCAGAGGTAGAGACTGAGAGAGATGCTCTCAGAACTGAGCTGGCAAGAGAAAAGGAGAAGAATTATGGCATTCTTCAGGATATGCTGAAACTCCTCCAAGCCAAAAACCAAACACCTAGTTCTTCCTAGCCTTAAGCCTCCTAGCATAGTGTAGATCAACCAGTGACCTAGTTCGGGATTTTTTGTTTCTTTTGCTCATGTTTCCAGTATTGTTATTTCTTCTTATGCTTTGTGGTAGGCTATTATCAATCATCAATGAAATTCACTGTCTTTTGCTCTAACTGTTTGTTTATATTTCTTTGATGGTTAATAGCCTTAGTTTGATCTATGATGATTAATCCATGATTGCATTTGAAGTATCCCAGTGGCCATGAGTAAGTTTAAAATCTGGTTATCTTACATATTTATGCAACTTTTTGATGATGCCAAAAGGGGAAAAAAGGTTGTGATTTACACTTTGAACAGTGATGTTTATAACCTGATGAACCTGGTCCTTGATAATAAGTGATAAAAAGGGAAAATGTTTCTAACATTGTGTTGATTTTGAGCTAAGTTGAAACAGGGCTAAGCTTATGAAAAAGCACAGAGTTTGTCATCATTAAAAATGGGGAATTTGTTGGCCCAAGTGAAGGTTTGTTTTGAAGATTGACAAAAGAAGCTCACGCATGAACCAGGTCCATCCCTTGTGTGCATAGACACGGGCAGATTCGAGTATGTGGGATGCACGTGAAGGAGATAAGCTTAACTTGGTATAGTTGATATCTCCTGATCGAAAAGGTTGCATAATTGATAAGGAGAAGGACTCCTTAATCAAAGAGAACACTATCCAAGATAAGGGAGGAGTTAGAAGTTGAGATCAACTAGAACTCTTCCACCAAGGAAGAGTAGTATTAGAACTCTAGTTATTTCTTCATCTACTAACTCTATATATTGTAGGATGTTCTCATTCTATAAGTATGCACAAAAGCAGAAGTTAAACGTGAATTGAGAGCAAAATAGCAAGGCAATTTGCAAGCAATTCGTGTGTGATTCAAGTGTGCAAACCTGAAGCTATATGAACCAGATAGAAGAACCAGTTCCATGTGTCTGCCTTCTATTCTAGTTCAATTGTAGTAGGTGTTTTCATATTATACCTTTCAGCTTTATCTAGAGGCAATTGTTATAAGTACTCACAGTATTTAAGTTAGAGTTAACTTGAAGTTGTCGCAGCAGTTAGAGGCTGGTTGCCACAACGGGATTAGAGTTAATCCTAGGTTTACAAAAGTATTTTATAAATGCAATTCTTGGCTCAGTGATTTAGTGAAGAGTTTGGGAAAATCCTACTGAGAAGTAGGTCGTGATTTTTTCACCTTTTGAGCCAGGTGTTTTCCACGTAAAATACTTGTGTTCTTTACTTTTCGCATTTACTATTTCACCAATAGTAGGTTAAGGAACACATAGAAGAATTCGGTCCTTCTATAATCAGTTTAAACGAAAAATTGGGTACCACACAAATTACCCCTCTTGTGTGGTATTGAAGTTAAAACATCACTAGTCAAATATTTAATTTTATTTATTAGTGTGTCAAAACCTTAAACTACACATAAAAAGCATACAGAAGGAGAAGTGCAAAAAGACCAACGTACATCGTCCAGTCAAAAAATGTACACAATTTACCCAAGTACAAATCAGTCCAGATATATACAACCAATAGCTACACATTTCAATTTATATTACTTGCTATATGTACGCTTTTAACCCATATTGCTTGGATCATCCTAAAAAGCCCCCGCACCCGTATCAGATTTTAAAAAGTTATATATTTTGGAGGATCTTACACTAGTACGCCAGCATTTTTGGAGGATTCGAGCAGCATAGCTTTAACCAAACCGACTGATACTAGCTTCTCTAAGATTATGTGAGTGGTGGGATAAAAGAAACTGGAACAAGTGAAGTCTTGTATGTTTCTTTTTCAATTATCCAAATGGATTTCCTCCCCCAGATGAAAAGCTATTCGATGTAGCAGGCGTTGGATATGTGCCATTGGACTGTTGAAGAGGATTTAGGGAAGCGAAGGCGGCTTCATCTTTGCCAATGCTAGTATTCCCTTGTGGTCTGTGATGAAATATTGAAATGTTAATTTACATGATAAGAGTGTTTAGTCATTGAGTATCAGTTGTAACCTGAAAATTACAGGCAAAATTACTCTCTTCAAGTTAAGAGAACAATTCTTGCTAGCACGTTCTGATTCGTGGTTATTCATGTTAATCAGCGTCAAAATTGCACACAAGAAAAAACATATTGAAGGCATCCGGCCTATAATTGCAATCCAAAATATTTACATGGATTCTGGAACAGAAACCTTACACGGTAAGGGCCATGTTGTTCGGTATCTGTTGTCCTACATATGGTCCTGCAGGAACTATCAGAAAGATAAGATCAATTTCATAATAAACAGACAGTTGAAACTGCGTTCAAGCTGAATCTATCAGAGAAAGCATACGTTTATTTACTTAATTTTGTCTTTAACAATATGATTTACCTCCAGAAATTGTCATTCCATAATTAGCTGTTTGTGGAGGCAGTGCAAAAGCATAAGGCAGTTGCTGAGGCTGTACACTTATTGGAGCTGAAACAGTTGGCAGTGCTGCTTGCATAGTTAACATGGACGGGAACTAAACGAAAAGAAACATCTCAATTTGAGAGAATGCAAAATCAAAAATAAATGTTATTTTTGCTATTAATGGTCACATTCAGAGCTTAATAACCTTTCACAGAGACTTGACATACCTCTGGGGCTTGAACTTGAGGGCCGTCTTGACCAATATCAAATGGATTTCTTGATTTTGCGGAGTTTGGGAGAGCTGGAATTGACTGTAACAGCAGTTTCTTTAAATTAGAACATTAACCTATCCCATTGTTCAAATTCAGTAGAGTAATGAAATGTGATATACCATTGCAGCCGGATGGTATTGCATGCCGTGAGGGCGAAATTGCCAACCCGGAACAGCTGTAGGATGATAGCATGATGTGAAAAGGTCCTGTATCAAAATTATCTCCATTTATTACTTCTACTTCTATTTCGCGACATCCACCTAATTAAGATGCATAAAGCCAGTTGAAAAGTTACCGCTGGGAGTTCTTTTCTTCCTACAGATTTTGGATCATTTGTTGTCACAGAGGCAGCTTGATTTGCAGTTGGTGCTTCAGCATTTCCTGTAGGTTTTCCAGTATTTTGCTTCCAGTAAACACGAGGAAAAAAATTAGTTGCATCTCTGAGTGTATCGACAAAGAGCCTGTTCTTAAGCAACCAATTTAGTGACCTCTACTTTTTAAATACAACAACAACTAGCCTCACTAACCATGTCGCTTCATTTAAGTTTATCTTGGACCAATATTATACAAATAAAACTTAAAGTACTAGAAATTCTCTATATTTTCTGCTGGCATATAAAATGCTGACTTGTAGAAAACATAGGACCTGAAATAAACATATTAACATGACTAAACAAAATTCCCAACATAGGACCTCTACTTTTGAAATGTTTTAGAAACTTTTGCACATTTGGCGTGTCACGCTCAAGTTTTACGTTAATTAAGAAACTTCACAAAGCCCTCTCACCTGACCATATAAAGCATCAAATGATGCAGTACTCTGTTGAATACTGGAGCTATTGATCCCCATAGCCACTGCAGAAAGCTTATTATTGATCGATCGCGTCTGTTGTCCATTGGTTATTTTTTCAGTGGAATCATTAGGTCCAGGCAACGCTTGGGTACTTTCGGGCGAAGCCACTGTAGGTCCAAAACCACTAGAAACTACAGTTGCAACTGATGTTGCTTCAGTAGCAGCTGGTGTTTCTGTCGACGCAACTGCTGGAGTTGACATGTCAATAAACAACGATTCCAGTAAATTCAAACTGGAAACTTTATCTGCTGAGGAAGGTGGAGTTGAGGTATTGGAAGTCTCTTTAGGTGGATCTGTTTGTTGTGCCTGTTGAGGCTGAGGATCAGTTTCCAAATCAATCAAGCTACCAAGATTGGCAGCTGCCTTTTCCTTTGCCATTTTCTGCAATTAAGAATTTTATAGATCAAGAACATTGATAAGAAAATCACACTACATGTAATATGGCCAAATTTTAATGACATTTGCCATAACATAATATCCATTATAACAAATTTGTGGATCATGACATTTGTCATGACATAATATCCATTATTAGGCCAAGGATTTCTTGCTATAAATAGAGTAGTTTCTCCTCATTTGAAAACACACCAATTCAATAACTTTTCACTCGTCTTTCTTTCTCCCCCTTTATTTCATTATAGAGTATTTTGTAAAAGAGTGAGTGTTGGGAAACACTTTTGTGAACCCTTTCTTTGGAGTGATCTTGTGAGGTTATTCTCTTGGGGTATTTGGCAATTAGAGTATTTACTCTAATTTTGTATTCTCTTTTGTACTCTTGTTGGTATAGTGAAATTGCTTCTCTCCACTTGTGGACGTAGGTCACCTTGACCTAACCACGTTAAATTTGTGTCTTCTTTATCTTCTTTAATTGCCGTTATTATCAACTTGCATTGTCTTTGTTATTATCATTATAACATTGTTTGACTAAATTCTGCACTACTCGATGTCCCGATCCTAAAAAATTGGTATCAGAGCCAGATCTAACCGGGTTAGTTTAAAAAGCCAAAATGACTCTAACAAAGTCTTATATTGAGAAATTTGACCGAAGTGCAAACTTCGGAATGTGGTAATTAAAGATGGAAGCTATCCTAATTCAGGATGGCTTAGATTTGGCACTGCAAGGAAATGAGAAGATGCTGGATAAAATGACGGACGAGGAGTTTGCCGTCATAGACAAAAAGACAAAAGCAGGTATTATTTTAAATCTTTCAAATGAGGTTTTGCGTGAAGTTGCAGCAGAAAGCTCAGCCAAAGGCATATGGGAAAAGCTTAAAACCCTATATATGAAAAGAACAGTAGAAAACAGGCTTTACCTAAAGCAAAAACTCTACACTTTTCGTATGGCTGAAGGTACCTCTATACTTACACATGATGATACTTTTGATTCTCTTCTTATGGATTTAAGTAACATAGATGCTGAAATCAAAGATGAGGATCAAGCTATATTATTGCTTGTTTCCTTATCCCAGTCGTTTAAACATATAAGGGATACTATGCTTTATGAAAAGGATAATATTTCTTATAAAGATATCAAATCTATTTTGAAATCAAAAGAACAAATAGATAGAGATATTACTGGGGAAACTAGTGGGAACAAAGGAGAAGGCTTATTCATAAGAGGTAGATCCAATAAGAAAGATTCAAGTAGTGAGAAACCTAAATCAAGGTCAAAACCCAGATACAGAAATGTCATGTACAAATATTGTCATAAGAAAGGTCACATTATTTCTGAATGCTTTAAATTGAAAAACAAATAAAAGCATACAGAAAACAAAAATGAGCACAAAAATACTGATACTGCCGAAGCAAGTGTAATTGCTGATAAGACTGAGGGAACTATTTTTTTAGCAACTAATAATAGTTTCAAATCTAACAATGAGTGAATTTTATATTCGGGTTGTTCTTATCATATGTGTCCCAGTCGGAATTTATTTACCACATATGAATCTATTGGAGGTGGAGTTATCTTGATGGGCAACAATGCTGCCTGCAAAGTTATTGGAAAAGGTACAATCCGAATCAAAATGCATGATGGTATGGTGAGAACTCTCACCGATGTTAGACATGTTCCTGACTTGAAGAAAAATCTCATCTCTTTGGACACTATAGAATCTCTTGGGTGCAAGTACACAGGTGAAGGTGGAGTTCTGAAAATTTCTCATGGTGCTCTTGTGATCATGAAAGCACGCAGATCTGCTACGTTGCATACTTTTTTGGGATCTACTGTTACAAGTGTTGCTACAGTTTCAATATCAGATAAATCAGATTCTGACATCACCAAATTATGGCATATGCGATTGGGGCATATGAGTGAAAAAAGTCTTTCCATCCTCAGTAAAAGAGGTCTCTTATGTGGCCAAAGTACCAGAAATATGGAGTTCTGTGAACAATGTGTGTTCGGGAAGCAGAAAAGAGTCAGCTTCAAATCTCCAGCAATTCATAAAACAAAAGATACTTTGGATTACATTCATTCAGATCTTTGGGGTCCTTCACGTACCCCATCAAAAGGTGGTGCCAGGTATATTTTAACTTTCATTGATGATTATTCAAAGAAAGTTTGGGTTTATTTCCTGAAAAATAAAAGTGAAGTTTTCTTAAATTTCAAACAATGGAAAGTTTTGATTGAGAAGCAAACAGGAAAACAGATTAAGCGGCTTAGAACAGATAATGGCTTGGAATTTTGTAATAATGAATTCAATGAACTTTGCAACAATGAAGGAATTGCTCGACATCGTACTGTGAGAATGACACCTCAGCAAAATGGTGTGGCAGAAAGGATGAATAGAACTCTTTTGGAAAGGGTTCGTTGCTTGATTTCAAATGTTGGGTTGACAAATGCCTTTTGGGCAGAAGCTATCTCTACAGCTTGTTATATTGTCAACCGAGCTCCTTCTGTACCTTTGAACTTTAAGACTCCAGAGAAAATGTGGTCAGGTACTCCTACTAATTATTCTGATTTAAAGATATTTGGTTGCCTTGCATACATGCATGTAAATGATGGAAAATTAGAGCCAAGGGCTAAAAAGTGCATTTTGCTTGGGTATGCATCTGGGGTGAAAGGATACCGACTATAGTATCCTGATCCCACTGCACCAAAATTTATAATTAGCAGAGATGTAACCTATGATGAATTCTCTATGTTACATTCTAGAAAAGATTCTTATAGTTCTTGTAATACAGATAAAGGAAGGAGTACACAGAACCAGGTGGAGATTGAGATTGGCATTCCTTCTTAGCCAAGCTCATCAACTTTAGAGCAAAATACAGTTGAAACTCCTGAAGTTGAGACAGAAGCTGAAATTTCTGAAGTTGAGACTCTTGAAGTTGAACTAGAAGAAGAGGAGTATTCTATAGCCAAACATAGACCAAGAAGAGAAGGTAAACAACCATTAAGGTTTGGAGATTATATTACATTTGCTTTTTCAATTGCAAAGGAAACTGAAGAAATTGGAGAACCATCAAAATATTCAAAAGCAATTTCTGGTGCTGACTCAGCCAAGTGGTTGATTGCAATGAATGAAGAAATTGAGTCTC